AACGCCAACACATCGGAAGGTTTCAAACCGAACATCGATTTCTCTATACCTGAGATTAACGTTCCTAAAGGGAAGCTAAAACCACCGTTCTTAGGCCAAAGCCCTGAGAATAGGACGATCTTGGCTTTCTTCGCAGGAAGAGCTCATGGGTATATAAGGGAAATCTTGTTCAGTTACTGGAAAGGTAAGGATAGAGACATTCAAGTGTACGACCACCTCACAAAGGGACAAAACTATCACGAATTGATTGGTCAAAGCAAGTTTTGTCTTTGTCCTAGTGGCTACGAGGTGGCTAGCCCAAGAGAAGTAGAAGCCATCTACTCAGGATGTGTGCCTGTTGTGATCTCTGATAACTACTCGCTTCCTTTCAACGATGTGCTTGATTGGAGCAAGTTTTCGGTTGAGATTCCAGTCAAACAAATTTCTGAAATCAAGAAAATCTTGCAGGATATTCCACATGACAAGTATTTACAGATGTATAAAAATGTAATGAAGGTTAGGAGACATTTTATGGTAAATCGTCCGGCTCAACCGTTTGATGTCTTCCACATGATACTTCACTCTGTTTGGTTAAGGAGGCTTAACATTAAGTTGCCTTCTTGATTTAATTAAATCCTTTTCACTATTTAAATTAAAAGCTTTTAGCTGCAACCAAAAACAAACGGTTGTAGAATTACAATTCCTTTAATATTTTTTGCAATTTAGATATTTTGTTACATTGTGACAGATAAAATTTATATATGATAGCAAACTCATTTCATCTCAATGATGATGTCAGCATTTTTTATAAGGAAAAAAATCCAAATCTAATGGCTATGATTTCATTTAAAATCCTGAGTATGGCATCATAACTTGAATTAGGCAAAAGACGTGTTTATTCTCTAAAAGGTTGTATTTTTTCAGAAACTCTATTATTGAATTATTTCATAATAAAAAATTGTACCATTGAGCTTTTCATAGTAAAAACTTTTTTAAAACTTTATTCATTTAAGCAAAAAAAAAAAGCATGTTCATTCAGTGACAATTTGTGTCGTTTAAAAAAAATAACCATTAAACTCTTTCTTTTTTTTGGTCAAAACCATTAAACTCTTTCTTTGAACCAATTCATAATAGAAATCTTATAAAAATTCATTCATTTAAGGCAAAGACATGTTCATTCAGTGAAGAGTAATGTCCTCTAAGAAGATTAACCATTAAATCTTTTGATAGTAGAAATTTGAATATTTTAGAAACTTAAACCATTAGACCCTTTCACAATAACTTTTTTTTTAAAAAAAAATATTAATATATGGTCTCCTCATCCTTCCCTTCACCCTTGGTTTTTTAATTAACTGTTTATTGGAGTATGTTATCATATTTTAAAAGAAAAAATAAATAAAAATTAATGATTGTGTTTGTTCCTAATTTCTAACCTAATGACCACAATTTCATTTATGATCTAGAGCATGATGTTGTAGATTCACTTAGGAGAAAGTCTACGTACTCAGAAGAGTTGCATCTTTTAAGAAGCTTAACCATCTACTCTATTAAAATAGAGTCATTCTTTTTATCTACTGATACAAGTTGTCATTTAAATTTGGACCCTTTTCTAGAGTGTTACAAATAATATAAGTCATATAGTTAATTGAACCACATTAATTAAATTAAACCGGTGGTTATTTATGGGATATAGTCTTGGGCTTGCTTTTGTTTTTAGAATAAATTATATGATTTGGTTTTTGGGCTTAATATTAAGGAAAAAACTCCAAAACCCATTGAATAAACTTTCCACCTTAATGAATAAAAAAAATCAATTATTTTTCAGGCTCAAAAGGTATTTAAGATTTTTAACAAAACAAAATTGCCTATTATTAATCATTTATTTAGATCATGTACATAAAGTTGAAAACGCAGGTTATATTTTTTGCTTTTTTTTTATTTACAAAATAAAATATTTTTTTTTAAAAAGCTTTTGTCATCTTTTCAGTTTTAAATTAGATGTTCGATTATTTGAGATTTGTTTGTTGGTAATATCAGTTCAAACTAACTCAGCGGATCTAAAAATTAAAAACTCAAACCAAAAGCTGAAAATCAAAAATAGAAACTTAAAAACTAAAACCCAAAAAACAAAATCTAAAAATAAAAATTGAAACTAAAAACTAATGAAAAACAATCATCACCACAAATTTTGCTGAAATGATTTTATACCAAAACATTCTTTAAATTAAGACAAAAACCCAACTATATAAATTTTTAATCATAAAAAAATTTCCGCGGGTCAAAATCTAGAGTGTCATTTAAATTTGGATCATTTCTAGAGTGTTACAAATAATACAAGTCATATAGTTGATTGAACCGCATTACTTAAATTAAACGGCAGTTATTTATGGAATAAAGTTTTGGGCTTACTTTTGTTTTTATGACAAATTATATAGTTTGGGTTTTGGGCTTAGTATTAAAGAAAAACTCCAAAAACATTGAATAAATGTTCTACCTTAATGGATCAAAAAATCAATTAGGCCCAAAAGTATTTAATATTTTAACAAAACAAAACTATATATTATTAATCACTTATTTAAATCGTGTACTTTAAAACATGTTAATATTTTTTTATTTTTCTTAAATAATTTACTGATTTTAAAAAAATAAATATAAAGCAAAACTAAAAACCAAATCTAAAAATTAAAATCCAAAACCAAAAGCTGAAAATGTATGTTATATTTTTGCTTTTGTTTTGTTTATTTACACAAAATAAACTATTACATTTTTTAAATAAAAATTCTCATCTTTTCAGTTTTAAATTAGATGTTCGATTTTTTGGGATTTGTTTGTTGGTAATTATGAGTTCAAACTAACTGAGCAGATCTAAAAGCTAAAAACCCAAACCAAAAGCTGAAAATCAAAACTAGAAACTTAAAAATTTAAAACCAAAACCAAAATCTAAAACCAAATCTAAAAATAAAAACTGAAACTAAAAACTAATGCAAAGCAATCATCACCACAAATTTTGGATTACTTATTTTATACCAAAATACTTTAAATAAAGACAAAATCTAATTATATAAACTTTTATCAAAAAAAATTTCCGCACTTTTAAGCGCGGGTCAAAATCTAGTCTCTATTAAAATAGAGTCATTTTTTTTATCTACCGATACAAGTTGTCATTTAAATTCAGACCATTTCTAGAATGTTACAAATAATATAAGTCATATAATTGATTGAACCGTATTACTTAAATTAAACCACACAATTAATGTAAAGAGACGACCTTAATGTAAACTACCTTCAAAATACGGCAGGTATCTATATGTATACCAAAAACACATATTTTCTCTTACAAATTTGGAATGTTCTAAAAGAATATATATCATCAAAATATGGAATATGGAAATCTATTAATTATACTTAAATTAAACCAGTTGTTATTTATGGAATATAGTATTGGGCTTACTTTTATTTTTTGAACAAATTATATAGTTTGGTTTTTTGGCTTAGTATTAAGAAAAAACTTCAAAACATTGAATAAACTTTTCACCTTAAAATATCAAAAAATCAATTATTATTTTCAGACCCAAAAGGTATTTATTACTTTTAACAAAACAAAATTATCTATTATTAATCATTTATTTAAATCATGTACTTTAAAACATATTAATATATTTTTTATTTTAAATAACAATCACTTTGTTTTGATAAATTTCAATGGTAACTTTTAAATAATTTATTGTTTTATTTTTCTTAAATAATTTACTGATTAAAAAAATGTAAAGCAAAACCAAAAACCAAATCTAAAAACTAAAATCCAAAACCAAAAGCTGAAAACACATGTTATATATTTTTTTTTTTGCTTTGTTTATTTACAAAATAAACTATTTCAAATTTAAAAAAAAATTGTTATCATCTTTTCAGTTTTAAATTAGATATTCGATTATTTGAGATTTGTTTGTTGGTAATATTAGTTCAAACTAACTCAACGGGTTTAAAAATTGAAAACCCAAACCAAAAACTGAAAATGAAAAGTAGAAACTTAAAAACTAAAAACCAAAAACCAAAATCTAAAAATAAAAACTGAAACTAAAAACTAATGAAAAACAATCATCACCACAAATTTTGGTGAACTGATTTTATATCAAAATATTCTTTAAATTAAGACAAAACCCAATTATATAAATTTTAAATTATAAAAAATTCCCGCGCTTTCAAGCGCGGGTCAAAATCTAGTCTAATCTATTAAAATAGAGTTCTATTTAAAATTACTATGGCATGCTTTATTTTGGACCTATTGAATATGTTGTGACTAAATATAAAATCACATTTTTATATCTAATTTATTATAACATAAGTAATATTTTTCTTGATTTTTAAGGAATCTCTTTTTAAAGTTAGTCTGCCTGTAAAAGTGTATTAAACGTATCCAAATCCTTGGAATAAAAAAAACAAGGTAATGATTTTCTCGAAATATCTTGTGAAGGCTTTTAACCTAAAACCTGAGCTGAATCAAATTGCCTTTACAAATCACCAGAACATTGTCGTATTCTATACTTGAGATTCGAAGGATCCCTTTTAGTTGAATTATGGTTTTCTCGGAAGTTTTCATTTTTAATCCAAATTTTGGAGCTATTGACTGATATTCATGTTTTGCTGTGATTTAGGCAATCATGTTTTTTACTTTAAGCAAATCATCTTCCTTGTGGTTAAATTTAGTTGGACTTTCTGTTTGTGATTGATGATTCCGTGGGAGGTCAAGTACCTCATCTTATGAAGAACTTTCATAGGTGCAAACCTGTTCACAGCCATTAGCTACCAAATCTCTAAGCTCTGCAAAACACATTGACTGATTAGTTATATCGAGAAACTGAAACATGATAAAGAAGGATTGGTTGAAGAGTTACGTAAACAAGAGGAGGAACGAGAAATGTTTGAGCAATAAGAAAAGAAACTAAAATATCAATTACACCACATGGAGAAGCGTCAGAAAACATGCAATGGGGTCATATGTTTCCTCAAGTACTGTAAAAACTATGGCTTGCTCTGATATCTCGCCGTGTGCGTGTCTACCCGAAACGAACAAGGGGAAAAGAAGGCTCCCTAGGATTGGGTTTGAACCAATGTTGGAAGACAACCATACATCTTTTGCTGTGAGAGAGGATGGTTCTACCAGCCCTTCTTCACACAAACACAGAACATCAACTGGAACAGTTAGAGGCTTCAGTAGTGATCCTTTGGAATTTAGATAGGTTCAAGAAGAGTGTTAAAGCAATGAAAGCTAAAGTGCAAATAGAAAATTGCTTGCGCATAGGAGAGATGTGAACCTGAACTTTAATTTGCAGAAGATATATACATACCAATTTGTGATGAATAGGTTTTCAAGAAAAGTCTTAAAAGTAATGAAAGCGGATGCTGAAGCTGGACTAGAGGTTTGATTATAACCATGATATGTGTGTAACCTATGTTTTCATCTGTTGATATTCTTAATATTAGTTCACTAACATGTGGCTAGAGAGACCAATGATCATTATTAATTGCCGAAAGTGAAGAAGAATAATAACAAATAAAATATTGTTTATCTTACAATAAGTACAATCTCCAGGTAGTATGCGTGAGGGAGATGTTAGTGTAGAATTGGCGAAACCTGTACTAAGAAACAAAACGGTGAAGGCATAGAAGGCAAGACTGATCTGTCTTCGAAGAACACATTGGAACCATGCACCACCATTGTAACAGAAAAGGCAAGGTCCAGGAATGGTCTGTCTATGCTCCTCATATCCCGAGCACGATTCCCCTACCAAGGGGGTATCTGGGTCTTTCTAATTTGTGTTTTAATCACTCTTGAATAGAGGTGATCATCAGATGTGTGAACGACATATCGGAGTTAAAATATCCGATCAAGTTTCATGTCCATAAGAATAAAGTTTAATATAAAAATAAAGTTTAATATAAAACCCAGAAACAAGAAAACAAAAACAAAAACAAAAACAAAAGAAAATAGAGAAAGTCTATTTTATGTGATTTAAACAAGGAAAAGTGTTGAGTCCTTTTGCATGTTATAATATGCAAGCGTGTGACCATCCTCGAGTAGTCTACCAGCAAACATGATTTTCTGTACGTTTGGTGGAATCCCTACCTTGTTTTGAATCTTTGTCCTTACATCCTCAACATTGTCGAAGCTGTGAACTTCTAAGGTAATGGTTTTACCAGAGTGTGTTCTCACAAATATTTGCATTCCACAACCAAAAAAATGGACGTGAAGGACTGATTCCTTCCAGATGTTGTAATCCGCCAACGTACGGCCATCCTCGAGCTGTTGAAAGGAAAAGATCAACATCTGCTTGTGCGTAGGGATTCTCTCATGATCTTGGATCCTGGCCTTGACGTTTTCAATAGTGTCTGAGCTTTTGACCTCATCAAGGGTTATAGTCTTTCCCTTAAGAGTCTTTATGAAGATACGCATACTCTCACTCCACCTGAGAACACAGTGGAGAGTCGAGTCTTGTTGGATATTGTAATCAGCCAAGGTACGGTGATCCTCCATCTGAATTCCAACAAAGATAAGCCTCTGCTGGTCGGTACGAAATCTTTCCTTAAATCTTATCCTTTCCTTGACGTTGCCAATGGTGTCTGAGCTTCGGACCAGAAGGGCTATGGTCTCGCCCTCAAGGAACTTCACAAAGATTTGCATAAATCCTCCCAAAACCAAGTGTAAAGTTGAATCTTGTTGGATATTGTAATCAGCCAAGGTACGGTGATCCTCCATCTGATTTCCGTCAAAGATAAGTCTCTGCTTGTCGCTAGGGATTCCTTCCTTGAATTCTATCTCATTCTTGACGTCGCCAATGGTTTCTGAGCTTTTGACGTGATTAAGAATTATGGTCATGCCTATAAGAGTCTTTACGAAGATTTTCATAGTTTCTCCAGGCCTAACAACCAAGTGTACAGTTGAATCTTTTTCGATATTGTAATCAGCCAAGGTACGGTGATCCTTCATAGTAATTCCGATAAACAGAAGCAACTGCCTGTCCCTAGGGATTCTTTCCCTATGTTGTATCATTGTCTTGACGTTTCCAATTGTGTCTGAACTTCGGACGTGAAGAATTATAGTTTTGCCTATAACATTCTTCAGGAAGATTGTTATCACCATCTGAAAAAAAGTAAGTGCAATTTTCCTTAGCAGATGGTAAGAATTCAAGAATGAGTATATTATTGTGTTGTGGTTTAATGACTTACAAGAGAGTTATATATATATATGACTTATACTTATCTCAAATAGGAATAAATATATATATGTCTTATACTTATCTCAAATAGGAATAAAACTTATCTAAATCTTTCATCTTTATCAATATATATGATATGTATAACATTTTGTAAATATATATATATATATATATGACTTATACTTATCTCAAATAGGAATAAAACTTATCTAAATCTTTCATCTTTATCAATATATATGATATATATAACATTTATGGTTTGTGATTCATAGACTTGATGAACTTCGTTTCATAATCAAATTTCGAGGGTTCGTAATAATTTGTCCGCGAGTTACACATATTACTCCCCAATATATCTCCAATACACATAAAAATTATACCAAATTTTCCACAGGTCCTAATAAATTTTATCCAACAAGAAATCTCTCGTAAAGGCAGAACACAAGCAACATATGGTTCAGAAAACTAAAGAAACAATATATACTTTTAGAGAAGAGTTCTGAAAGTTTTGCACAATTATTTGGATTTGCTTTTATAAGATAAAGAGATATGATCTACAACAAGAGGAATATTCTTCTAATAGAGTGACTTAGCTGTAGAGCATCTTCATCAACAATTAATAAAATATTAATATTAATATAAACTATAAATATTACTAGTTAATAATGTTTCTATGATTAGTTAATAATGTTTAGAATTAATTGTTGAGTGGTAAAAAATAAAGAATTAATTGTTAAAAAACTTGTGAATTATTTGATAAGGTAATCCTCTTTGATCAAGAAAAATAAACAAAAAGAAAATTAAATTTTAAAATACCACAACTAAAAGAAATCTGTTATTGTGCCACATAAAAGCTTTTATTAATCATAATGAAGCGTTCTTTCACTCTTCCTAGCGTCACATTGGATTTCACCTAAAAAAGTCTGTTATGATACGTGTTCCGTATATGAAACTCATCGTTTCTTTAATTATGTGTTGATAACGTGATTGGGCTGGATTTTTGTACGGATTATTCGGCCTGACTGATGGAATGTGTCAGCCTATAACCCTAATACTCCTGAAGTGAAGAGATGAACTTGGACTCTCATTTTTGTGCGACGAAGACGAGATGACGTTTTTGCTTCCTCTCAGTATTTGCAACTTCGGAGTTATATAGCTTCGTGTTAAATCTTATTGATTCACTGTCGGAGTTATAGACTTTGAAGCTCTATAGTATTTTAAAAGATGGTTGCGGAGTGAAAGAATTTCTATTGAGGGCAGCTAGAACTCAGCTTCAGACGATCTCAGCCCAGAAAACAAATTTGCAGAGGAATTTCAAGCGAAGATTCAACAACACACATCACTGATGTCTTCCTAGCTTGCTCTCCAAGAAAAGGGATCCCGCTGGTATTGAGGCAAAAGGTCTGCCTCTCTCTTTTTGAGCTGCCAAGAAAAAGGCCACCCTTCTTGAGAATTATTACAGTCATTTGAGCAAGGCTGAGATGGGAAAGTCACTTTGGCAACACAGCAATGGAGAAAGTGGAGTTTGATCGTATCCAAAGTCTCAATTTTATTGTTCTTCAGGAAAACTGATTTTTAGAATTTGATTTTCATTTAATTTTCTAGGTTTTTTTTTTCTAAATAAAAATCTAGGTTATACTGGTATTGTTTTAGTTGGTTTTAGCTGCTAGAGCTTCAAGTACAAAGAATAAATATGGTTGGAATACTTGCTGACCCTAAGAGCAACAATATCGGTATACTTGCGTTATTTTTTATTTCAGATAAACCAAATAGGAATTTCAGCTAGAATGAGTGTTCGAGCAAAACTGTTTATCTTGTTTAATTCAAACCAGCCCAAAAATATGGTATCTTAGAGAATAACTATGTACTAGGATAAGACCCGCGGGATGAAATTGTTATTTTCAATCTGTTTTTGGATGATGAAACAATAGTTCGATTTCATTTGGATTGAGCTGTTCAATCTGGATATCGATTTGTTTTTATTCGGTTCAGTTTTTTTTGGTTTTTGGTATTTCGGTTAGTGTGTTTCAAAATAAAAAGGTATTTCGATTAGTAAAATATAACTACTATTCTAAATCTAATTTACTTCGGTTCGGTTCATTTATATACCGTCGGTTTTTGTTTAATTCGATTTTTATACCAAAAAAACATAAATATTTAGTTTGGGATCATATCATATATTATACGAATTTAGAGTCATGTCGTCAAAAAGTCATTTATTAAAAATATTATATATTTAAATAAAAGAATAAAAAAACAAAAAAAATGCTTCTATCATCTAATAAAATAATCAAATTTATAATTAATATCAAAGCTCTAAATTTTGAAAATAAAAATAAAAAACAAAACAGAAGCACAAAAAAACACAGGTTCCACAACTTTTTTTAATATTTTATTTTAACATCACTAAGAACCATTTTAATGGTTTTAGAACCAGTAGCTTACTATTATTTCCAAAATTGAATTAGTTTGACCTTAGTATTTCACATAGTTTTGAAGGGTTTCAACTGGACGGTAAATTAACACAGTTAATTTTCTTGGTTTAAATTGTTAGCTATATATATATATAATTTGAATATTTTTAAATAAAAATCTATATTGATACAATTTTATGATCATTTGTATCTTGTTGTAACAGAATAAATTAATCTGTTGATAAAAAAAAAATCAAAGTGGGATTTAAAATTTTAACAATTTATAGCTGTTTAAGAAATTCAAAATATAACATATAAGAAAAAATCTTTTTTTTATTATATGGTTAATGTGATTGTTTAATATTTTTTTTAATAATATAAATTTAAACAAAAAAGATCTAAGATACAAAAATTGTTATCAAATATTTATTATTCATTATCATTTATTGTCACAAATACGTTAATTATATTAGGTAAATCCGTAGTTGTTATTTAAAGAAAGTGCGAGATTTTTTTTGTACACTATTTATCAATTTAATAGTTAATTTAATAAAAAATATAATATATATTAATATGGACCAGCCTATTTTTCTAAATTAATATATATGG